CACCACAGAGATGTTTATCTCCATTTTATTGGACTCTAAAAGAGGCTTTCATAGGACTGAGAGTGTTAGGAGACAGCTCTGGAAATGAGTAAGACGTGCAAGACTGTGTGTGTGTGTGTGTGTGTGTGTGTGTGTGTGTGTGTGTACCTGGCTGTTCAAAGAGAGTCCCCCAGGCCCTCAGAGTTTGCTAGGGAACCCCTCACCGGTTCCGCCAGGCTCCAGGAGTGCGCCCAGTCTGTTCTGTTTTGTTTCCAGGTCTGGAGTTGAACCCACGGCCTTCACACTAAGCTGCACCCCCGGCTCTTTTTTTTCTTAATTTTGAGACAGGGTCTGGCTACATTGCTAAATTGCCCAGGATCGGCTTAAATTTGTGAGACTTGTGCCCCAGACTCCCACAGTGCTGGGATCAGAGATATCCACCACCACACCTGCCTGGCTTGTTCAGGTTAGTTTTTGTGACAGGTTCTCACTGTGTCACTGAGGCTGGTCCTGAACTCCTGCGCTCACATCATCTTCAAGCCTTTTAGATCCCTCCCGGGAAGCCAGGGCCACATGTGTGGCTCCGGGCTCTGCTTTGTGGGCCAGTCCCTGCTCCACCTAGCCCTTCCCGGCGGGGAGCCCGCTCTGTGTCCTGTCCCAGCCTGGCTACCAGAGCTCCTGGGGCCACTCCTAGGCTGTCGTGTGTTCCCTATCTTGGCAACAGCAGGGCTGTACCGTGCCCCCGGGAAGCCGTGGAGGCCCCTGGGACACTGCTAGGGTCCAGCCCTGAGTCAGCACCTGGCCCTGCTCACACTGTACAGGCTGAGTTCACTTCCAGCACCACTCAGCCAGGCCCCGACGGCACAGGCAAAGCCAACCTCACCCCAGAAGCCAGTTTCATGTAGTGGGTGCGTGTGGGTGAGGCATAAAGAGCTGGTGGAGCCAGGCGTGGGTGGTGGTGCACATCTAAAATCTAAGAACTCGGGGCTGGGGATTTAGCTCAGCGGCATAAGCGTCTGCCTTGCAAGCAGACAGTCTTGAGTTCGATCCCCGGTACCGATAAAAAAGAAAAAGACAAAAAAAAAAAAAAAAAAAAAAAAATCTAAGAACTCTAGGAAGCTGAGGCAGGAGGATGGAAAGTCCAAGTCCAGCTAGGGCTATTTATTTATTTATTTTGTGACACCAGGGATCAAACTCACGACCTCGAGCTTATGCCATTGAACTAAATCCCCAACCCAAGCCAGGGCAATTTAGCAAGACCTTGTCTCAAAATAAACAATAAAAAAGGGCTGGGGTATAAATAAAAAAGAGCGTATGTAGTTCAATTTCTAACATGCCCTCCCCCACTACTACTGCACATAAAAAGCAAAAAGATGCATGGAATTTTAATCTCAAATTTTATTTCCTTTAACGTATTCCATGTTCTGGGAAAAGAAAATAGCATTAGCATGGTGGATGTCTTATGTAAGTGAAGATAAGCCCTGCTTCTTTATCATATTAAATTTTATGAAGTCAGTCAATCATCAGACATCATCTGAAGCCACTTTCTCAGAGGCATGGAAACTGGGAAATGCCCCTAACAGTGAGGGGCAGTGTGGGCAGTGGGCAGCTGTCCGGACCTTTCCTCGGAGCTGGTTGTATGGAAACCCCGTTTGCTTGCCCTGTCTCCCATGACCATTCCTCTCTGTTGGTTGGATGAGGTCCTTGTTGGGGCAGTGAGGGAAGGGAATTCCAGGGCCCAGGAGCAGCACCTCCAAAGGCCTGGGGGACGTGAGGGGAGACGGGCCCAGGGGGGCGGGTGGGGAGGAACACACTATGTGCAGCTGCCCTTCTGGTAGTGGGGATCGAGCGAGGGCACAAAGTTGCGGGAGGGTGTAGGTGAGAGGACAGTCTAGGTCAGGAGGTAAGGACCTCGACCCTGCACCGCATGAGAAGTCCTGGAGGAGGGTGCTGAGAGATGCCATGGCAGTGCCACCAAGGCCCTGGATGGGGAGAGATGGGGATGGACTGGGTGAAGCAGAAAGGGGAGACACCGAGGTGGCCCCACGTTCCCGCCCTCAGCCCCTGTGTGTATTAGCGACTATCAGGATGCCAAGCAAGCTGGCGTGCGTGCTCTGAGGGCGGCGGCTTGGCCCCTGTGGAAGGGCCACCCCTGGGGGCCCTCTCTCTGCCTGGGTGCTGTCCCCAGCCCTCACCTGAGACATGAGGATGGTCCTGTCCTCCTCACTCCTGAGTGGGTCCCACCTCTCCCTGCCCTCGCCAGCCCCACACTGAGCCAGGCTGGCGCTTGATTAGGGCCCGCAGCTGACCTGGGCTCACCCTGGGAAATCTGAGGACAGTGTCACCGGCAGACCTCTCTACTCAGCTGGCCTCCAAGCTAATGTTGCGGTGGCACGGGGTGGGGTACCCCATATGTATGGGGGGGTTGCACATGATATGTTACATACGCACAGGTGACCACGTCTGTGCTCCCCCTCCTGTGCCTGAGCGTCTGTGAATGCTTGTGGGTGTCTGTGTGAGGGCTGCATGCATGGGCGGTTCCTGCCCAGGGAAGGGGTGGGGTACACTTTTGCAAACTGGCTGGGCTGTTTGTAGGCAGCATAAGGGGAGTGGGCTTGGGTGTGGCTGTGGCTGTGGGGCAGCGGAACTGTGTTTGCTGAGGGAGGAATTCTGCCCCATGCTGTGAATGATGATGGATGGGCAGAGGAGGTCAGACCATTCTTCCTGCTCAGGCCCTGCTGGTGCTTCTCAGCCTTCCTGGGGTCCCTTCCTGGGGCAGCCACCTTTGCCCAGGGCACTTTGGTGGAAACAAGGAGCTCAGTCTCCAGAAGCCAAGTCCTCTGCTTCCCTGTAGAAGGTGCTGCCTTCGGGTGAGGGGGTTGCAAAATGCGGGTAACTCTATCTGTCCTGCCAGTGGACAGCTGATCCCCAAAGACAGAGGTGGGGGTCTCCCTAGGTAGCATTTTAACAGGGTCATAAATAGTAAGGGAATGTTTCAGATGGCCAAAATGACCTAAGCAAAGGCCCTGGGGCAGGAAAATGCAGGCTACTTTGGGCAGAGGTAGTGCTAATGGGCCCTTCAAGGTCCTCTTGAGACCACATCCTTCACGTTCTAGAGAAGAGCAGTCATGCTTCTATGACCTCACCCCCTCCGCTGCCCTAGGAGATGCAGGAGAAAGCTGCTGAGGCACTGGGTCTTGTTCTGGGGTCTTTCTTATCCCCGGCAAAGGCTGCACCCCAGGCTTGGCCTCCTTTGGCACCAGCTGGCAGTTGTTTGCTAGATGCGTCTCCTCTCTGGGCTCTCATCTCCCCTGGGAAGGAGACAGAAGGCCTTGCTGTGCCTGAAGCCAGTGTGGCTCCCGAAGGAGCTACAATGCATCCCTGACCTCACCCCGTGCCCAGCACCTGCAGAGCCGCAGCACCAAGCACCCCAGGCTGCGTTTTGGAAGGAAGATGGGCGCAGCTAGTGTCTCCTTCCATTCCAAGAACCTCTGCCAGACCCTCCTGAGGGAAGGCAGCAGTGGAGAAAGGAGCCCAGAATCCTAAAGACCCTCGGAGGCGAGGCAGGAAAGACGGGCAGCCTCACCGCCTCTGAGCAGACCCCTTGGGAACGCCCTTCCTCGGGCCTCGGCCTTGGGGCAACCTGCAGCAGCTGCTGAGGGAGACAGGCCGGTGGGGACCGCTTCTCAGAACCAGGGGTGGACCCAGCTGGCCTGCCTGGCCTCCCTCACCCCTACTGCAGCACAGCCTCTGTTCCGAGAAGTGCAGCCCTCTGCTCTCCCAGCTCTCAAAACTCCCATTTCCCTGGCTGACAATTCTTTTTTCTCTTTTTCTTTTTCTTTTCTTTCTTTTTTTCTTTTGATTATTTTTCCTGCTGTACTGATGCCTGAACCCAGGATTTCCACACCGGGCTACAGTCTCAGTTCTTTTCTATTTTGATGTTTGTTTTTTCTTTTTGAGACAGGGTCTCACCATGCAGTTCAGGCTGGCCTTGAGCTCACTTTGTAGCCCAGGCTGGTCTCAAAGTTACAAAGGTCCTCCTGCCTCAGCCTCCCGAGTGCTGGGATTACAGGCTTTTTTTTCTATTTTGAGACAGAATCTCTCTAAGTCACCAAATTGTCACAGTTCGGATCTGTCTTGCAATCTTCCTGCCTCAGCCTTTCAGGGTGCTGTGATTACAGTTGTGCACCACCACATTCAACTGGTAGTTTTTTATAAACTCAAATAACCCTCCTTTTGTGTGTGTGGGGGGGGGGGTAGGTGGGTACTGGGTCAAACTCAAGACTTTGCTTTTGCCAGGCAGGTGCTACTGAGCTATATCCCTGGCCCCAAAACTCTCCTTTTTTCAGACTCTTTTCTTTTTTTTTTTTTTTTTTTTTTTTTTTTTGTCTTTTTCCTATTTATTGGTACCGGGGATTGAACTCACGACTGCCCACTTGCAAGGCAGGCACTTATGCCGCTGAGCTAAATCCCCAGCCCCTCAGACTCTTTTCACATTAAGAAGTTTGCCATCCACTTCCCCCTTCCATGAGAGCAGCTGTATTTCTAATTATCAAACACATACGTGCCTGTAAGTATATGAAGTAATCTGCAATGACAGAAATCAGAATCATAGCACCCTGGGCTGCAGAGTGACTTGGAGGGAGCACAAGGGAGCTTTAGGGTGGTGAAAATGTCTGAAATCTTTACCTAGGTGATGGTTATACAGATTTGTCAAAAGTCACCATGTTGTACACCGCGTTTGTACATTTGATGAAAGTTCAAACCCAGCCTGGGCAACTTCACAAGACTCTGTCTCAAAATCAAAGAATAAAAGAGAGCAAAGGCCCTGGCTTCAATCTCCAGCAGCACCACTTTAAAAAAAGAAAGAAAGAAGGGGGCTGGGGATTTAGCTCAGCGGCGTAAGCGCCTGCCTTGCAAGCAGGCGGTCGTGAGTTCGATCCCTGATACCGATAAAAAACAAAAAAGACCAAACACACACACACACACACACACACACACACAAAGACACACCAGAAACATACCCAGAACAGACATGCTTGGTTTAATGGATCACAAAGCCAGAGCCCCTGGAAACACCCCCCCCCCATAAGCACTTCATGCAGTCAATGCTCCACAGTTCTGGCTGTAACCAAACTGCTCTCCCGGGACCCCATCACCCACAGTCTGGGCCTCTAGATGCAACATTTCTTGGTCCCTGGATTTGTGGGGACACAGACAGCAAGGGTCAGGTGGTACACATGGGGCTTGGGAACCCAAATCAGCACAACCTCAAGCTTTTCTATGACTTTTTTTTTTTTTTTTTAACCTTGGGGCCTTCACACGGGACCACATCCCCAAGTCCTTTAAATTTTATTTATTTGTATTTTGAGGCTGGGCATGGTAGAGCATACCTGTAATTCCAGCACCCTCGAGGCTGTGGCAGGAGGTTCCAGGCCAGCCTGAGCTATGTAGTGAGTTCAAGGACAGCCCAATTACAGAGTGAGAATTTGTCTCAAAAAAAAAAATTTTTTTTTTTTTTAAATGTTGAGACAGAGTCTTGCTAAGTCACAAAGTGCCCAGGGTAGACTCAAAACTCGCCATCCTGGCTCAGCCTCCCAGAGTGCTGGGATTACAGGCCTGCACCACCACGCTGGGCCATGTTCCTGGTGAGCTCCAAGGAACAGAAAACACCAATTTCCCCTTTCCGGAGGGGGTTTCCGAACCGGGAGCCCCAGGAGGCTCTCGCCCGGGGTTGGGGGTTGTCCCCAGTGAGACTAGAAGAGAAATGTGCTTTTCTTGCATCCCTGCTTGAAGGAACCCCCTGCGGTCACCGAGCAGCAGGAAGACGGGGTCAGTCCTGTTTTGCTTAAAACCTTCAAGCAGCTCAGCAGCTGGGGGCCAAGAATAGGGTGGCGGGGAAGCTGGGGAGCTGAGAGCTGGCAGGACTCTGTGCACCCCTGAGCTGTGGCTGGTCCTCTCCCTCTCGGGGGTGCTGGGAGGGGTGTAGGGCCTCCCAGCAGCCAGAACTGCAAGCTGACTAGGGGGCTGGGACCTGGGGAGGGGTCTCTGTCCTGCTAACCCCAGAGAGCAGCTGCAGGAGCCAGAGGCGCGCACAGCAGGGGTCCTGGTCTCCTCCCAGCTGCGTGGGGCGAGCGCCCCTCCCGCAGCATGGCCCTGGCCCTGCAGGGGCTCCTGTCACTTCAGAGTCCCCGTCTGGGTCTGGCTTCCGCTCTGCCCGAAGAGCTCGGGAGGTCCTCTAGGGCGGGTGTGGTGCAGCGGGTGAGGAATTTCCCTGGAAACGGGAAGTACAAGACGTGTCAGTGTGGGGTCCCGGCAGGGCCGCAGGGCGGGGTGATGGAAGAGGCCCTCGGCGAAGGCTCCAGCTCAATCCTCCAGGGCACTGGGTTCTCTCTTCTCTGTGCTGCTCTGAGCTCCTGGCAGCTCGGAAGCAGAACCATTCTGCAGCTGGCCTCTGAGGGACAAGAAAAACCCATTAGCCGTGCGCCTCCTTCCAGGCACGCAATCTGATTTTACTCCCCTCCCCCTCCCCTCCCCAGCGAGTGCATGATGTAGGAACTATTTCTCCCCCTGATCACAGACGGGGAGACTGAGGCTTTGCATTTGTTTTCCGAGGCAGGGTCTTGCTGTATACCCCAGGCTGGACTTGAACGTCCAGCGATCTTCCTGTCTCAGCCTCCCCAGTGCTGGGACAACAGGCATGCACCAGCACACCTGGTCAAACTGAGGCTGATCATGGTACCCAGTGGTTGGTAGTCTAGGATCCCAGTGGTAGCACATGACAAACACAGGACTTGAGTCCTGATCTGGAATACAGAGAGTGTCCAAATGACTGTCTGGGAGATGATGGGTCAGGATTTTAGATAATTGGGGGCATATACAGAGTTGCTGGACTACTTGATACTTTAGTAGAAAAAGTGAGCAGTGAGCTTATTTGTTTGTTTGTTTGTTTTGCTGTTTTGAAACAGGATCTCACTATGTAGTTCAGACTGGCTTTGAATTCACTGTGTACTCCTGGCTGGCCTTGAACTTGTGGTGATCCTCCTGCCTCAGCCTCTCAAAAGTGCTAGGATGAAAGACATGTGCTACCATTCCCAGCCTGAGCAGTGGCTTCAGAGCCAACATTTATATGCCAGTTTTGCTTTTGGGGAATGAATTTAACCATGTCAAGCCTCAGTTTCCAAGCCTCTACAAAACAGGGTCTGATCATCTTGCATAGTGTCGCCCCACCTTTCTTTCAGCCTACAAACTCCCAAGCTACTTCAGGCCTCAGGGCCTTTGTACGTGCTGTTCCTTAGGTGGGACCCCTCAGCCACCGGAAGGTCGTGGGGGTCCTGCTGGTGTCCTCTAGGCCTCAGTTCAGGCTTGGACTTCCTTGGGCAGCCTTTCAGCCGCTCTCAGTTGCATCACTGTTTTATTTCTTCCTTTGCACTGAGCATGGTCTGAAATTATCTCACTAATTATTTCATTTCTTTGGTTGTTTATGGCCTGTCCTCTGCTCCACCAGCGAGTGCTGGGACGTCTGAGGGACTCACTGGCCGGGGCTCAGCTCGCAGAGCAGCACCTGGCAAATATCAGAGCCTGCTAACTACTTACGAATGAATGAATGACTGAGCCTTGGAGACTGTTATATTTAAGTGACGAACTCTCCCACAGGCCTTCCCGAGCCAAAGGGCAGTAAATGCGTGTTAATGGAGGCTTGGAGAACACTTTGGGCCTGGCCCACACCCAGCCCTGGAGCTCCCGGCTGCGGGGAGCCATGAGGCTGCCTGGGCTTCCGGCTGCTGCAGGATAAAGGTCAGCCCCTTCGCTGGAACACGAAGTACTGCACCATCTGGGCCTGCCTGCCTCTGGCCTCCTCTCCCGGGTTCCCCAACCTGGACTCCATGTCCAGCCAGACCAAACAACTGCCAGCGCCTGCCAGGGAACGAGGGCTGCTTCACGCCACTGCTCCTTCTGCTGGGAACATCCTGCACCTCAGGGACCTGCCCAGCTCCCTGCAGACCTCAGAGGAGCCCTCCCTGAACCCTTTGTTCGGGCCACACCCAGGGCCCTGCCCCCCCCCTTCCCAAAGCTCATCCTGATCTGCTTCCAGGTTTTACGCCCCCTGGGTTGAAGCACACTGCCAGGCCTGGCCAGGGGTGCTAATCAATGTGGGGGGGGGGATTAATTACTCTGAGGCAGACAGTAGGTGCTCAGCCAGTGCCCACTGAACTCACCGGGGTATGGCAGAGACAGGGGGACAGTGGGGGACAGAAGGGTCTTTCTCAGCATCAAGGTGGTGTTGGGCAAAAGACGGCAGAGAAGGATGCTGGGAACACTTGTAAAAAACAAAAGTCAAACAGATGAGTGGTGGCATATAAACAGAACACTGACGAGCGAGGAGAGAGAGAGACGGATAAAAGAGGAAGAAGAAAGCACTCACAGGAAGCAGCCGCAGCTCGGAAAGGACACAGTGTACCCAGGAGAGCCACAGAGGACAGGAAGCCCGAGGCCAGGACGGGCTGACTAAATACGGGGCGTCTGGTGGCCCAGCTCTGGGTAGTGCAATGTTGTGATCCCTGCTGGGGGTGACAGGACTGGGTGAAAGGCTGCCTGGCCACCAGGTTCAGGACAACTTGGGACATTCTTCCTCTCTCAATTCAGGAGAGTCCAGGCAGGGATCACCAGTCTGGCTTCCTGCCCCCGGGAGCACTTTGTGCTGTGGCTCGGTTCTCCCCGCCATCCCCCCACCAGGAGCATTTAAGCTCACAGGGAGACAGGACAGGTAATGAACTTAGGCTGGATGTTTTTCCAAAACCTGCTACAGACGGGTCCTACGAGAGGCCATGGCACCGCTGTGTCACCGGGTGCCACACACAGAGCTGGCCCCACAGTCCTGGAACCCAGGCTCGACTCCTGGTTTTTGCATCCCGAGGCTGAAGCAACACAACGAGGTGATTTATCCCCAGGTGAAGGGTAAAGGTCAGCCAGCAGGTCAGCCAGCCAAGAGTCAAAAGAGCCCACAGCCACCAGCCGGGCCACCCAGCTCCACTGCTGGGGTCTGTGGGTCTCCAGGCTTCAGTAACGCCATCACCTGCTTCGTCCCAGGGCGAGGCCAGACCAAAACATGAACTTGATCGCCACTCAGAACATCCTGCAGACACCACCATGTATCCAAACCCTTTTTGCAGCTTCTGTTAGGTCTGGGTGACTCCCAGAGTGAGGAGGTGGGTGGGTCCCTGCCCCACCACCTCCGACCCCCACTTCTGCTCTGTTCTCTGGGACAGAAGAATCAGAGTAACCCAGTCCATCACAAGCTTGGAGGTGGCTTCCTCGGAGCCTTTGCTGGTCCCCCTGGGCTCAGGAAACCTGCTCACGTCCTGGGCAAACAGGGTGGCGGGGAGAGAAGGAGCAGCCTCCAAGGTCCAGAGAAGCTTCAGACCCAGGCTGCAGACTCCCATGGTGGGAGACAGCAAGGCACCTGGCCGGGCAGGGGGCCTTCCCTTCTGCAATCCAGCCTCTCCCCTCTGGGGCTCTCTCTGTAACCCCTTCCCCCCACAGGGACCCTGGGGACATAGACTCTCTTCATGATCCTCTGGGGGAGTTTGGGGGAGGTGGGCAAATGAGAGCCGGGGTGTGACTGACAGCAGGATGCCATGGCTGGAGAAGGAAGTATAAATATAAAGCGGCCAGTGTAGGACTGGACAGCGGCCATATGAAACACACGGTACATTCCGGCCCCAGCGTAACAAACTGTACCAGCCTTTTAGAGGGCTGGGAGCACCGAGGAGGGAGGGAAGAGAGCAGAGGTTCCTTGGAGGTTGGCCCACTTCTCCCCCAGCTCAGGCACTGCAGGGAAAGTCCCGCTGCTCCCTCTGCAACCACAGGAAGCCATCCCTGTTCACACACTGTACCCAGTGTTCCTCTGGGCAGCTCCGGGCTGGGAGGGCACCAAGGATGCCTGCCTGGGAGGCGGAGGGGTGCACGGGCAGCCACACCAGCCCGAGTGCCATCAGGGGAGGTAGCCAGCATCACCACTCGGGTACCCAGAGCCACAGCCTGTACCAGGGAGGGTAAGGAAGTACCTCCAGTAGTCCACCAGGCTGGGACCAAGGTGCATCCAACACTGGGCTGAGCTGGGTGCCCTTGGGTGTAGTAGATAGGAGCGGCAGGCCAGAGAACAGGCAGTGGAAGGTGGAGAGACCACATTTGAGGCTGCCCCTGGGCTTTGGTTGGCACAGGGTGGTCCAGGGTTGGGCAACGTTCCTGCCTTCTTCTCAACCTTCTCCAGCCTTAAAATACCAGATAATGCATGTAAAGTGCCCAGCATGAAGGCTGTTTTATGGTGATGTCAACCCCAGTGAGTCACCCCCACCCTGCCCCTCCCCAGTCCGCCTACTCAGTCATGTTTTTTTTTTTTTTTTTGTCTTTTTCTTTTTTATTGGTACCGAGGATCGAACTCATGACTGCCTGCTTGCAAGGCAGGCGCTTATGCCACTGAGCTAAATCCCTAGCTCCTCTCCTACTCAGTCATGGAGTGGCCTGGAACCTCCTGGGATCTCTCTCCCCCATCGCCACCTCCTTCCCCCTGAGTCCGATGGCTGTCACCCACATTTGGTACATACCACCTGCTGGCCTTGGTTATTATTTAACCCCACACACCCTGTGTTTGTCTCTGCAACTGGCCCAACAACTACCTGAGGGCAGGAAATCATTTCAATACACCCATATTTATTGAACATCAACTCGGATGCCAGGCTTGGGCTGGAAGAGATGAACTGGGGGTGGGGGGCAGGGAGGAGGCTTCGAAGAAGAAGCAGACTTTGTTTCTGCCTCAAGGACTTTCTAATCTGGTTAGGACAAGATTAGTAAACAGATCGCTTGCATAGGAGACAGGGCACACATTGTGCTTGGGAAAGGTACGGACTGATTGTGCTGGGCCTGGGGATGTCAGCAGAGTCCACGGGGCTGGCTCGGTTTCAAGGGCGCTCTGTGAACTGGAGCTGGAGGGCTGGCGAGGCCCGGAGGCCCGCACTGCTGGCAGGGACCCGGGTGGCAGATGGAGCTGGAAAGGAGGGGAAAGCCAGGCTTTTAGGAACCACCTCGAACTTTTCATGACACCTCAGCAGGTCCCATTGCAGAACTTTCTTTGGCACACAAATCCTTGGTCCCTCTCTGGACTTTGGAGGGGGTGGTGGGGATCTTTAGGACCAGCACTGCAGACCGATGATGGTCAGGGAGAAATCTCGGCTCTGAATAAATTTCGGGGTGCATGGCTATGCAAAGGGAAGGCTCAGGCTTTGGAGGCCATTTGGGGTCCTCTTTTCCCACTCTCCCACACTTCACTGACCAGTATCTGAACTCGCCCAGCTCTCAGCATCCTGCCAGGGGTTTCCCAAGCTGTCTCAAAGGGCTGGGCTTGGTTTGCCAGCGCTGGGAATCCCTGGAGTGCCCGCGCTCAGCTTCAGTGATGGATCAGGGAAGTGGGGTGAGGAGGGAGGAGGCGCTCCCTAACCCCGGGGACTACAGGGAATTGGCCCCCTCAACACAGGCTTCCGCTGTCACGTGACTGCATCCCAGGTGTCCTCCGTTTGCAGCTGGTGCGTCCCCAGCTTGCCTCCTAAAGACTCCTGGACTGAGCGCTGTGGGGGGTGGGGGACAGCCTGGGCGAGGGGCTGCTCCTCCCTAGTGGACACCCCCCAGCCTCTGGCCCCCCCAACCGTGCTAACTCAGGGCCCATCCGAATCAGGCGGGGGGTGGGGTGGCCATCCAGGGCACAGGTGGCCGTGGCGAGGGAGGAGGGCTCCGAGTCTGGCGGGCGCGCGGCGTGGCGGGGACCCTCGCGTCTCCCGGGTGGCGCGCCAGGCCCCTGCCCCAGCGCGCGCCCTGTCCGCCGGCGGGGACTCTGCGCGCCGATCGCAAGCCGCGAGCAGCAGCGGGGCGAGGAGGCTGGTGTGAGCGCCTGGGCCGGCTGCCAGCGCGCCGGGGCTGGAACACAATGTCCCGGGCGGGCGGGCGCGAGCGAGAACAGCCTGACTCAGCAGCTGGGTAAATGGGTGTGCTCGCTCACCAGCCCAACCGCCTCTGCAGCCTGCGGTCGGCGACGGCCGACACTCGGGGTTCCCGCGGGCGGGCGGGCGGGCGGGACCTCCACGTGGCCGGGTCTCGCTGCCCTCTGCTCCTGGAGCGCGTGTCCGGTCCCCCACCTGGGAGGGACGCTGGCCTGGGCTCGTCCAGCAGGTGTGGCCCGGAACCTCCCGGGCTCTGGGTTTCCGGCCGCTGGAGGTCTTAGCACCAGGGACATCGCTGCGAGTGGCAGATGGAGCTAGCAAGACTTAGTTCTAAGTGGCAGGGGGGTAGGGTCCTTGAAGAAATAGGATTTCGGGGAAGAGCTCTCCCCTATCTCTGTCCTCGGCTGACCCAGAGTTCACAGTCTCTTCCTGTCCCCTCCTCTCAAAACCACCCGAGGCCCCTGAAGAGGGAGGAAGGGGGGAAGGGAGGCAGAGCACGCAGGTGGTGTGAGGCTGTGCTCACAGAGGCCGTGTCTCTGCCACCCCCCACCCTGCCATGTGAATCCACAGCAAAGCCCCGTGAAGCCTGCCCCCCAGCCTTGGAACGCCAACCTCCTCTGTGTGCCTGCTGCCTCCCATGGTCTGGTGAGGCCACTGCTGGGTGACAGCAGCCCAGAGCAGACTTCCTGGAAGGCGGGGCCTGTCTCATGCTCTGGCCTCCCCTGAGATGTCTGCAAGGTGCCGGGAGGGACATCCTGTGCCTGGAGAGTGTGCCAGGGCAGGCAGGGAGGGGCACTGTCCTCTGCCAGGTTCCAGGAAGGCCTTGGCAGGCGCACAGGCTGGGGCTTTGGGGCCTTGGAGGGTGGGGCTGGGGGAGAGACCTTGGCTTTGAAGCACCTCATCTGGGCTTGGTGTCCCCAAGCCCATCAGATGGCACCACTGGCATGTTGTATCACCAGAGATGCAGAGATGGTCACCTTCTGGCACTCTTCGAATGTGTGCCGTCATCCTCCAGCCAACCCTCACCAAAGCCCCATGAGGGAGGCACCTTTGCTGTCCTCTACTCCAGCCTTCAGCCTGACAAATGACATCTGTTCATGATGTCACAGGTCAGTGACTGCTCTGAGGCTGTGACCAAGACATTCTCCGAAGGCAGCCCACTGCCCTCCAAGTCCTGTCACCTACAGGTCACCTTCCCTCCCACGCCCAGATGTGACTGAGCGCATCCTCCTGCCCTTCACACCATCTCCTCTCTACTAGCCACTGTGACCTTCCCTGGCCTCCCAAAATTAACTGCTTCCCTCCTCTCTGATCTGCTACCACATTCTGCATACAGCTTGGTTGCATTTATTTTAAAATGCAGGGCCCGTTCATTTCTTTCTCCTGCACACCTTTCTCTCTGGCCCACTACATTCCACCTCACCCAGGTTTTTCCTTCCTCCTACACACCCTGCTGGAATCTTTCTCAACAAGGATTAGTGTGTGTGTGTGTGTGTGTGTGTGTGTGTGTGAGAGAGAGAGAGAGAGAGAGAGAGAGAGAGAGAGAGACTTCAGGCACAGAAGCTCAGAAGCTGCTAACCTATGTGTGTCCTGTGCAGGGACCTGGGTTTATTATTCATGGTATTCTCAGACTGCGGACTCTAGCCCAATGCTGACTGTCCAGCAGGATTGCTTTGGCCACAGTCCCTTCTCAGCCTTCCAGTTCTGCCTTCTGACTCAGTTTCCCCATCCCCACCAAACCTGTTGCCTTCCTGACGTTCACCTGGGCCCTATCCATTTTCTCAAAATTTTCAGAGTGGACTTGTGACCTGGCTGCATGACCCAGTACAAAATTCCTCTCTGCTAGGGAAAGGCTCTGAAAATCTCCATTTTAATCGGTTTGTCAACTTCCTCTGAGCCTTATGAGCGGCCTTGTCTTTTCTGTTTCATTACGTCCTGTAGGATTTTCAACCCTTTCTTCCATAGGTCATAAGCTCCCTCATGGCAGGGACAGCTTTATGTCATATTTTATCTTGAGGAGGAGACACCACTTAGGGCACTCAGACACACAGAAAGCTGGCCTTGGCGTAGCCTTTTAACATCTCTGGGGAAACCAGTTTTTTCCCTTCATCTGTAGAAGGTACTAGAAATCTTCGCCTTGCATAATCAGCAACAAAGATCACAGCGACTACGAAGTGCACAGAATGTGCCTGGTGCATGGTGAGTGAACCACTGTCCTGCCTTCCTTGAAGTAGGGGTGGGGGTGGGGGTGGTCCAGTCTTTCTTGAACTACTGGCCGTTCGGGGATGCTTTACGCAAGAAAAGGGTCACCATGAATAACTGCACTGGTTCCAAGGATATAGCCTGGGAGGCCTGACCACCTCACCCTGGTGCACAAACACCCCAAGGCCAGGGCTCAGCTTCAGCGCGGTATCTGGGTGTCTAAAGTGCAGCGCCAAGCGTAGAAGTTGAATGCGAGAGAGAGAGAGAGAGAGAGAGACAGAGAGACAGAGAGAGACAGAGACAGAGGGACAGAGAGAGTGAGAGAAGCTGTCCCTCACTGCATTTCTTGGCCATCAAACAGCGAAGGAGAGGCTCGAAAAACCCGCTCTTGCCGCACCCCGGCCCCACGTGGTCCGCCCGCCAAAGGCACCCCCCCCCATTGCCTTGGAAACAGTGACGTAACACGAGGGGCGTAGCCCCCCTCCATCCCTGCTATCTCCAAAACCGAGCCTGGGGGAGGGAGGACGAGGTTAGAGGTGTCAGTACCCTCCCCGCTCCCCGTAGGGGTGCAGGTTCAGAAAACGCCCTGGCGGCTCCCTCGGGCTAGCTGCTCCGCGGGGTGCGCGCACCCCACCTTGCCCTCGCGATCTGGCGGAGGTGGGGGGAGTCTGGGGTGCACGGGCCTCGATCTCTGAGCGCTCGCCACTTTCTGCACCGCCCCGGGAGCGCGCTCGGGCCCACCGCTCCCCAGGCAGCCCCCCACCTCCGCGGCCGGGGGGCGCGCGGGGCGCGGAGCTGTCGGAGGCGCGCAGTGCCCGCGGAGTGCGGTAAGCAAGGGGTTAAGCTAGGTGCCGGCGCGGGCGTGGAGGAGGGGAGCCGAGAGAAAGTGAGAGCGGGGGCGGGACGGGGGTGGCGAGCGAAAGAACATCCTGTGCCCGCCGCCGGATGCGGGGGGCGGGGAAGCAGGCTCCGCCCCGCCGTGCGCGCCTGGGGGCGCTCGCTGCCCGCCCACCCCGGCTGCGCCCGCGCACGCCGCTCGCCGCTGCTTCGCCCGGGTTTGAACCGCCCGGAGGCCGGACGCTGCTTCCCGCCCGAGCCGAGCTGAGCGGCGGCCGGCCCGGGGCGGGGGTGTCGCAGAGGGTGGGTCCTCGCTCACCCGGCCGGCCAGCGTCCCCGGTGCGGTGCCCCAGAGGGACGGCACGTTCCCGCGGTCAGCCCTCGGCAGCTGCGCCTGCCAGATTCGTGCCCGGGAGGGAGGCGGAACTGAGAACCCAGCCTGTGATGCTGGAGTCCGCCCGACCTCGCGCGGCTGGGATCTGAACCCAAGCCCGTGGGACTTCGTAGGAGCCGTTTCCCGGAGCTTTGGAGCACGCTAGTGCTGGGCTGCCCTGGGTCACCCTCGGTCACGGCTGCCTGGTGTTTCCCGTCGTACCCCCGCCCCACTTCGGCATCTGCATCTCTGCAGCAGCTCTGCAGCGCGCGAGGCTGAGACCCCTTGCTAGGGTATTGGGGGGAGGGAAGGAGGAAGTAGCCTTAGGGGTCACAGGTGGCTGGGGGACCTCAGGAGCAAAGCATCTCAGGGGAATGGGCTGTGCTTCTGGTTTAGGAATTTGTGGGGGCTTCACAGAGGACTCCAGAGTCACTGAAGGCGTGATTCCAGGCGTTGGGATTCAGTGGCCTGGAAGACTGGGGCGGGGGGGGGGGGTGCGAGGGAGCAGGGTAGTGGAGGTGGAAGGGGTGAATGGTTTCTCAGACCAGGACACAGAGGTGCCCCCCACCCCGTGATCCCACTGTCGGAGGCGCCCAACATTTTGCCCAAAATTATTTTCATAATTATCACAAAACCGATATTTATTGATGTCTGTGTGCTGGGTACAAGAGCTTTACTTAATCCTCACAGGCTCAGGAAATGGGTTGAGTAGTCCCATTTTACAGGTGGGGAAAATGAAGTCAAAGATAGCAGAGCTAAAGCGGTGGCTGAAGTGTGTCCCATGGGGCTGGCTGGCTGGAGTCCACTCTGCTAGTCCACATTGAACATGGGGAGATGCAGGTAACATGCTGGTCCCCATGACACAAAGCAGGTGCCGGGGCAGCCCGGGTTCTCGCTGAGTCCAGTAAGGAGCTCAAACCCACAGCTCTGTGTGGACTCTCAGCCTCTCCCCCACTGGCCAGTGTGCCAGGTTTCTGGATTATACAGAAAAACAAAACAAGAAAATAAAAGCAAAGTTCCCAAAAAGAGTTGCTGTCTTTAATCTGTTTCCTAGGGACAGTGTATTGTCACCGTTCCCTAAAATAAATTGTAATCCCCTCAAAAAAGAATCTCATCATCTGAATAAAAAACAGTCATGCTTGCTGGGCGTCATGCTAAGCACCTGTGGTCCCACCTATGGGAGGGAAGCAGGAGAATCTTTTGAGACTAACCTAGGAAAAATATCAAGACCCTATCTGAAAACAAAAACTGCCATTCCCAAGAAAGGCGCCATTATTAACTTCACAATGAGAAATAGATATTTTCTGTCTTTAGGATTTCTTTGTGTGTGCGCTGTGTGCAGGTGACAATGTCACTTCGGGCAGGCTGCCCTGAGTCCCCCTGAATCATTTGAGAGCAGAACCAGAAGAAATGGGCTTTAGAGTGGTGCGTGGTGGCTCATAGCTGTAAGCCCAGAACTCTGAGAGCCAGGAGGATGGAAAAGTTGAGCCCAGACCAAGCCACTCAGTGACTTGAAGCCTGTCTCAAAAAACAAAAGAGAGGTGGAGGTATGAAGTCCCCGAGTTCAATTCCCGATTTTTAAAGTATAGGAGGGAACCAGATTACAGTCAGGAAAGAACTCCGGGCATCTTTAAAGAATCAGTGCCACGGATGGTGGCCTGACAGTGCCATCTCCCTCTGGAGGACACCTCAGTGACCTTGTGCAGAGGATCCATTTGCAGATCTGCCAGGGCAGTATTTCATCCTAAAGTGACAGTTGCTATGGGCAGCTGCCTCCTCCTGGGTGTGGTCTCACCTGCCTGCTCCTGGCACAGCCATGGAAGCTTCTGGACTGTGGGCTGGCAGTGTTTTCCGATTCCAGAAATCTCAAGCCGCCTCCTGCCAGTGGGGATGCTGGGAAATGGCACTCCCAGTCAGGCCCCCGTGTCTGGGTGGGGTGAGGACACCCACATCTTCATCCTGGGGCTTCGGAAGACAATGTCTGAATCTCTTCTGATGCAAAAACTGAGGTCAGGGCCGGGCAGTTCCTTCCCTCTCTCGGGCCCCTCCGATGGACTGATGGCCGTACCCCAGACTTCCTCCCGGGAAGCCCAGGCCTGGGAAAGCCGGTGGGCGGCTGCTGCCCTCTAACCGAGGAAAGCACGGGCTCTGTAGCTGCCAGCCTGGCTGCTCTGAGTGGGCTCCCAGGAAAGATGCGAAGGGCTCTCCTGTCTTGTTTTTGGTGGTGCAGGGGGTTGAACCCACGGCCTCGCACCTGCTGGGTCTTTTATGTCCCTAGGGTGTCCCACTTCGTCCTCAGAGCTCCCAAAACTGAAGCCTCGGTCACCTCCAGCGCTCCTCCCTGGCGGCCACCCTCTGTCCTATTATCTTTCCCACTTTCCTTTGTTGCCCAGGTTCCAATTCTGGTACCATGGCTCCTGGTGCTGCCAGAATTCTGGTTCTGGAAGGCTTCTCCCCAAGCAATGGGCCTAGCTCCCACCTGGGCACGGGCAGCACTGAAGACATGGGCAGGAGCATACCCGAGTGCCTGAGGGAGCTGGACATCCGCAAAAGTGTGGTGGGCCTGGCGACGGGCGCCGGGGCCCTCTACCTGCTCTACAAGGCCGTCAGGGCCGGCATCCAATGCAAACCGCCCCTCTGCACCACCTCGCCCATCTGCATCGCCCGTGAGTGTGCGGGCCCTGGGGAGAGGGCTGTGCCCCCGGAGGCAGCTGCGCCCGAGGCCACCCCTGAGGGAAAGCCCGAAGGTGACTCCTCCAAGTTCTGCTCTCTCTCTCTCTCTCTCCTCCCTCCTGTGGGACCCCGCCCGACTCTAGGCGAGCGTCCTGCTGAATAGCTCTTCCTCCAGGGGGTCCCCAGGACTCCCCATAGCTCTCCAAATTCCCCATTCACTCAGGCTCCTGCTATTCCACCACTTGGAAACTTGGCACCAGCAGCTTTCCCATCCTGTTCTTGCCCAGGAATGTGACACATTAAGGAAAGGGGAAATCAAAATCGGGGGACCTGCATGCCCCAGGGCTTCCATAGCCCATCCAGATGGTATTCCCTTCTGGAATCTAAAGGGATGCCTTATGTGCGACTCTTTACTGCCATCTGCTGGAATATCCTTGCCATATACCAGCTACACAAACAGCTTGGTCCTGCTGCGTGCCAGCAGAGTATGATAGTAAATAGACACGTGGAAGACATGAGACAGAAAATACAGGATTAGCTGTAGTGCCCTTGTGCAGTACACTTTCTGTGCAACTGTCCAGGGTGGGCATGCAGATAGCAGAAAGGCTACTCTTCAGAAAGAGGCCAGGCCACTTGTTGGCAGGTCCCCCGCCCCCTCCCGACCCCTTTTGTTCATTCCTTCTGAGTCCACAGCCTGAACTGGGCTGGGCTGGCTGTCTAGGCCTGGCCATCGAGCGAGAGCGCCACGGGAGGGACTCAGGGGAGCTTCGGAGACTCCTCAACTCCCTGGAGTGCAAGCAGGACGCCTACAACAGGAGCATGATCTTGCACAGCATCACACGCTGTGTGTACTTGCTGGAGGCCGAGGTGAGGGCTGGGGACCAGGAGGCCCTGCAGCCGACCTGCCCGGCTTAGCTGTCCCCGCCAGCTGTCTCCAGCAGGCAGCTCCGGCAGGAGGGGTGCACCCAGGAGGCTTAGTGACAGGCCAGGGGGCGGGGCCTGGGACAAGGCTTCTCCTGCCTCTTCCCTCTCTCCACATGCGCTCCAGGCCTCCGCTTGTAGCACCGATGACATCAGATTGTTGGGTGACATGCTGGATGACGACAACAAAAGTGTCAAAATCCAAGCTCTGAACGCACTAAAAGCTTTCTCTGGCATCCGGAAATTCAGGCTCAAAATCCAGGTGCGTCCAGGGATGGGGCCGCACAGGACGTTTGCGGTCTTCAGGTCCTTTCATCAGCATGGAATGAATGATCGTTTTGCTTGGCTTCTGAATTTGGAATCCAGAAATAAGTGAGAAGCCAGTGGTCAGAGTCCCAGTTAGTCATCAAAGCTATGGAATCTCAGGATGGATCTGAGCTCTGGCCCTGTTGAGATCTTTGAGGCTCAAACTTGCAATCCGCCTCCCTCAGCCTCCCAGCTGAGTTTGGGATATTTTCAAGCTCCGTGTGCATGAAAGTTTATACGCTCTGTAGCTTACTGACTTCCAAACATTGAAAGATTCATCTTGGTGGGGCAGTCTTTCTCCCTTCCTTGGTAGTGGGTATCTGGGCTCCACCACTGAGTCCTTTTTCACTGCAGTGTAGTTTTCTGTTTTGGTCATGCACTGCCATTGGCCCATGAATGGGCATTCGCATTGATCCCAGGTGCTTGTTGCAGCCACACGATGGGAGCATTTCTCTAGCTGTGTATACAGGGGTGGGTGGAAAGGCCTGGCCCAAAAGCGTGCCCAGTTTTTCCAGAAGAGGTGCCCTGATGCACACCCCCAGGCCCACGTGCGTGAGTTCTCCTGCTATTTCACCGACGCTGGATGATGGCACACTTACATTTTTTGTATTCGACCTCTTTGGAATAAACGAGCCTCTAGGTCTGTACTTGCTGGCCTCTCAGATTCCTGAAGCTGAGCTTCCCCGGTGCATCAGAACCGACTGGAGACACTAGAAGCCAAGCTTTGGGGGCCCAAGGCTAGGGGTTCAGGCCTCCCAGGAGAGCCTCCCGCAGGTGTGCGGGCCCACGACTCCCCGTTCCCCGGGCTTCTCCAGTGTCTGTCCTGAGGACCGAACTCTTCTCTCTCCAGGTCGAAGCTCCCTGGTCTTGGTTTCCATCTGACTGCTCTCCCAAGGTTCCGCAGCCTGGGACTCCCCTCTGCTCAGAAATCCCTGTCCCAGGCTGCTAACTCCTTCCTGCAGGGTGGGGGCCAGGCACTTCCACCCCAGAGTGCTACTTCCCTCTTACGTGGCTCGGCCTCTGCTGGCCAGGCTGCCTGTCTTTGGTAATAATTCTTGGTCCAAGCACTTTGCACCTCAGGATGCAAGATCCAGCCATGCATGGGGGCACACGCCTGTAATCCCAGCAGTCAAGGAGGCTGAGACAGAAGGATCCCAAATTCGAGCTCAGCCTGGGCAGTTTAGTGATTGAGCGAGATCTTGTCTCAAAATAAACAAACACCCCCCCCCCCAGTGTTGCTCAACATGACCCTAAATGAGAGACAGAGTAGCAGTAAACAAAACAACTCAAGATGCCACTCTTCCCTAAACAAATGTATGTGTGTATATATTTTTTTGGTTTTTGAGATAATCTCATTATGTTGTTCATGATGGCCTTAAACTCACAGCAATACTCCTGCCTCAGCCTCCTAAGTACTGGGATTATGTATACTGAGCTCTAAGACACTGTGGGAGGCACTGGAGATGAAGCAGAGACCAGAAAAAATCCCCGTTGTGGTGGAATTTATAGTCTAACGGAGCAAGTCAAGCGTGTACAAAGTATGTAATGTGTTTCGTGTGATCCACTCGGGAAGGATGGGGAGAGATGAAGCAGGAGGGTAGGGAAGGTAGATGGGTTGTGTTGCTGTCTCAAACCTTTCAGAACCTCAGTAGTGGAGGCTTCATGACACCAAGAGCACAATCTATAAAAGAAAAAGTCAGCCCATTGGACTATTAAACATTGTCTGCTCCATGAAAGGGCTTTTCAAAGGATGGAAAGACAATGTGGACTGGAAGAAAGTGTTTATATATAAACTACATCCCTGACAAAAGGACATTTTTTTGTCTTTTTCGTTTTTATCAGTACCAGGGATCAAACTCACGACGGCCTGCTTGCAACTTATGTCGCTGAACTAAATCCCCAGCCCCCAAAAGGACATTGTTATATAAAGAAGCTGGGTGTGGTGGCACATGCCTATAATCCCAGCACTTGGGAGGCTGAGGCAGGAGGATCGCTGTGAGTTTGAGACCTGCCTAGGCTACAAAGTGAGCTCAAGGCCAGCCTGAGCTGTATAGTGAGACCTTGTCTCCAAAAGAAAAAAGGAAAAAAATAGGTTATATAAAGAGCTTTCAAAACTCAGTATTATAAGAACAAGCCAAAAACAACCCAAAAAACAAAAAAAAGCAAACAGAGGGAGAAATGCTGAATATTATTAGCTTTAGGGGAATGCAATGAAGACACCAACAGATACTAATATCATCCTATTAGAAGACCTGAAATTGAAATCAATGATGATAGCACATGGAGAAGACATGAAAAAGCTGGAGCTCCTGGGAATGAGCTCAGTGACGCAGCGCCTGCCTGGCAAGCACAACGCAGTGGGTTCAATTCCCAGCTCAAAAAGAGAGAGAGAAGCCAGGCGTGGTGGCTCTCGCCTGTAATCTCAGCACTTGGGAGGCTGAGGTAGGAGGATCGTTGCGAGTTCGAGACCAGCCTGGGTTACAAGGTGAGCTCAAGGCCAGCCTGAACTGCATAGCTATGCCAGGCACTCTGGAAAACAGCTCGGAGTTAATTTTCATTTTGTGGTACTGGGGATGGAACCCAGGGCCAGGCTGTGCACACACCCTATGAGTGCGCTGCGGAAGGTGCTGCATTCCCAGCCCCAGCTCCTTAGAAAACCACACGTGGGGCTGGGGATTTAGCTCAGCGGCATAAGCACCTGCCTTGCAAGCAGGTGAAAACTACACGTGCATTTAGTTGCACTTCTGGGCTTAAATGTGTACAAAATATGTGCACTGTTGTGCACAGCCTTTTTGGAAACAGCGCAAGCCTACTATCCCTCTGTAGGTGACAGTTAAATAGTTAAATACAGGTGGTCGTGCTGTGGACGCCTATCGGTAATAACAGTGAGGTACCGACCAGGACACCTGATGGATCTCGAGGGCACTGCTCTGAGTGGGAAGAAAAGAGATTGCATGGAATCCGATTGCATATGTGCAACATTCTCAAAAAAGTGAGAGGGGAAAGTGGATTGGCATTGGCTGAGGGTTTGGGCCGCGGCAGTGGCTCTGGGGTGTCCCGAGAAGGAGCGCCCTGTGGTGACCACAGTAGCCGTGGGAAAATCAGTTGATTGTGGTGATTACCTGAGCCTGTATGTGTGGCAGAATGATAGATGGAGGCTGGGTGTGGTGGTTCAGGCCTATAATCCTAGCACCCTCGGAGGCTGAGGCAGGAGGATCAAAAATTTGAGCAGGTTAGCCGGACACGATCTCAAAATAAAACGTGAAAAAAGGCTGGGGTGTAGCTTGGTGTGAAGGCTCTGGGTGCTGGAAAAAAATTTTTAAAGAGCTAGACACGTACATTACACTAATGCTAGTTTCTTTGTTTTAAAAAATTAGAATATATTTGTGATACCTAATAATAACATTCATCTTGGGGATTTAGCATCTTAGTTATTTTTTATTTCCCCTTCTTATCCAGGTCTCCTGTCAGTTTCCTAGTCTTGATGTTTTTTTTTTTTTTTAATTTTTATTTGCTTTTTTTTTTTTTTTAAATCAGTACCAGGGATCAAACTCACAGCCACCTGCTTGCAAGGCAGGCGCTTATGCCACTGAGCTAAATCCCCAGCCCAAGTCTTGATGTTGTTAGAGTCAGATAAGAGGTAACCACTGAGGGAAATGGGGTGACAAGCAGGGGGAACCTCTCTGATGTGTTTTGCAACTTCCTATGAATTTATAATTGTTTCAAAATAAAAAGTTAGTGATCATAAACTGATCATGTATAGTTACTTAAAAGCAGTGTGTTTCTGTGATGATACTGGGAGAAGACAAAGACAGCGGGGTGGGTGGCTGGGTAGCCCCCCCCCAGCTGCCGTTTAAGCCAGGCTGGGAGACCCCACGCAGCCTGTGTGGCACCCTAGGCGCATGCGCAGCTGGGTGCTCTGGGGGGCTCAGGGCCTTTGTTCTGGGTGCCGTGGGCACAGAGGAGGAGACAGCAGAGAGGTCACAGGAATGGTGGGGAGAAGGCAGCTCAGGGTGCCCATGCAGTGGGCACCTGACAGAAGCAGGGTCCCATTGGGGGAGCCCAAGGCCAGCCAGCCTGCTGTTCTCTGAGTGGGCACAGCAGGCAGCGCGAGGGGGAGGGAGACAGGAAGCTGTGCCCAATCCAAGTGACAGATGGCTCGGGACCCAATGAGAAGGGGGCAGGGTGGGAAGTGGCTTGAGTGTTGCTAGACTTTTGAAGGGAGAAACAACAGGCTTTTTTGAAGAATTGGGAAAATGTCAGCCAGGCATCGTGGTAGCGCATGCTTGTAATCCCAGCTCTTGGGAGGCTGAGGCAGGAGGATCACCAAAGCTAGCCTGGGCTACATAGTGAGTTCAAGGTCAGCCTGCATGTATAATGAAACCCTGTCTCAAAAAAGACCCCCACACACACAAAAAGGAGAAGAAAAAGAAAAAGTATTGGGAAATCACAGGAGAGAACGGAGTTGGGGGTGCTGTGGGCTTTGGGCTCAGTGGGCTGGAGGTAAGCTGTGACCCTGGGCTGGGCAAGCAGCAGATAAAGAGGAAGTGGGCAGAGGGACGGGGGTGGGGGGGGGACTGCAGAAGGGAAGGCCGGTGAAAGAATTTCCAGAGAGGCAGGGAGGGCATCAAAGTCAAGTGACACAGCGGACCCCTCCCGCCCACCAGGAGCACACCATCAAGGTTCTGGAACTGATCTCCACCATCTGGGACACGGAGCTGCACGTCGCGGGCCTCAGGCTCCTCAACAACCTCCCGCTGCCCGACTTCGTGCACCCGCAGCTGCGGAGGGTGATGCCGTCCCTGATGGAGATCGTGCAGTCAGACCACATCCTGTCCCAGGTGCACTCGCTGGGGCCGGCAGTGGCTGAGGGTTCTGTGTTCCCCGCTGAGGTCCGGGCTCAACTGCCTTCGCCTCCCTGGCCCTTCCCTTCACTCAGGTCCAGGCCTTACGCCTGATGAGCTACCTGGCACAGAAGAACGATCTTCTCTATGACATTCTGAACTGCCAGGTGAGACGGCACCTGGGGCGGGGGTGTAACTGAGGTCATGGGGAGAAAGAACTCTGCCCTCCACATGGACGCAGCTCTGGTATCTTATTCTTCTCCGGCCTTCACGCCAGAAGCACTGGAAAGTACCCCCTTGCACATTTCCCCAAGAGAGTGAGAATCCATCTGATTAGGAAATAGGTTCTCCTTGGAGGGACTTTTTGAACTCTTGAGAGTTAGGAACAGAGAAAATAAAAGTGAATATAAGTATTTTAATAGTAGAGAAAGATGACATAGCAAAAAGCACTCAGAGTTACCACATAGGACAAGTGGTTCACACCCCCAGAAAGATAAAGCAACTCTAAACTTGTATGCACCTAATAACATAATCTCAAAATATATACAGTAAGACTTGCTGGAATCGTAAGGAGAAATGAATAGATCTGTCACCACCGTGGAAGAGTTGGAAGGTTTTAGTGACCCTTTCATCCAGTGACAAATACTGAAAACTAGTCAGGGGATTCTTGCTGTGAATAACACGGGTAAGCCTGAGCCATTAGACGTCCCCAGAACACTATCGTTCTGGGGACATTCCTCTCAAGTACGTGCAAAAATTTATGAAAATTAACCACATACTAAGCCTCGAAACTTGTCTCAAAAACTTTCCCAGAATCTGTATTACTGTTATATCACTCTCTTTTTTTGGTCTTTTTGAGACAGAGTCTCACTGTGCAGTTCAGGCTGGCCTTGAGCTCACTTTGTAGCCCAGGCTGGTCTCAAACTCACAACGATCCTCCTGCCTCAGTCTCCCGAGTGCTGGGATTACAGGCTTGAGCCACCACGCCTGGCTCTATCACTCATGTTTTATAACCATAATATAATTCAACTAGTAAATGTGAGTAAAATTTAAAAATATCCTGTATGGTTAATCTGAAACCCAGTTGCACTGGTAATCTGAAATCATAGGAAGATGGAAAAACCAGAATGTTATTTCTTGCCTGGGATTTCGTTTTCCATTCTCTCTCCATTCCCCTGTCACAGGTACACCCCAACTTCCTGAACCTGTTCCAGGCCACACAGCCAGGAAGTCTACTGTTGGAGGTCCTGGTGTTTGCTGAGCGGCTGAGTGAGGGCCGGAACTCACCCCACTACCGAGCCGTGAAATGGCATTACAACGAACAGTCCCTGCACGAGGCCCTCTTTGGGGACGATTCACGGCTGGCAGACCGGCTGCTTGCCCTGGTGATCCACCCCGAGGAGGACGTCCAGATCCAGGCCTGCAAGGTCATTGTCAGCCTGCAGTGTCCCCAGGACTTGAGAGCCCAATCCGTTTCCTGCCATCCCAGTCATTCCTACTTTAAAGATGGGGATTAAATTAAGAAACACCAATAAATGAGTATGGGAGAAACCTGAGCATCTGTCTGTGGCCTCCCGCTGGGGCTGGGTGGAAATGTCATCCCGAGGGACCTCTGTCCCAGGCTGCACCGCGAAGGTCTCCCCACATTCACCTTTGGGAGACTTTCTTCTTCTCTTTCTGCTTTTAGGGAGTGGGGAGAAGGCAGGTGCTGGCGTGGTTTGGGGGTGGTTTCTGTGTCCCTCTGCCTACTAAGATTCATCGAATGTCGGAGCTTAGTCCTCAGCGCCTTAGATGGCTTGGGCCTTTAAAAGGCGGAGCCTTGGAGGAGGGGGCCTCAGAGGAAGGTACCCTTGAGGGTTTGACCACAACACAGGCACTTCCCTGACCATCAAGGGACACCCTGTGCCAGTGATGGGGAACGTTTTACACTCTCAGTGATAATGCACAGCTGGCACACGTGCCATGGTTCGCCACCACTGCCATATGTTGTGAGGTCCTCATCTGAACCGCTGAGTCTTTGAATCTTAAAAACTGTGCGCTTAATAAATCTCTTTCCTTCATAGCGTGCCTTAGGTATTTTGTTCTGCTTGTAAAAGGCTGAGCAATTACAGTAGATTTGGGGATCAACCGGTGAAGAAAATCAACAAGAGCTGGGCGTGGTGGCTGATATCCATCTGTCATCCCAGTGCTCTGGAGGCTGAGGCAGGAAGATCGCCCTGAGTTTGAGACCAGTCTGGGCTGTAAGGTAAGCTCAAGGCCAGCCTGAACTGCATAGAGAGACTCTGCCTCAAAAAGATCAAAACAAAACAAAAGATGTATCAAATTCCCCGTGATGAATGTGATCACTGTGTATCCTAAACTATAGCAATAAACTTAATTTTTAAAAAAAAGTGAGACTTTCCGGAGTCCGACTGCTAGGTTTGAGTTCCAGCCCTGTCACTTATGGCTGTGTGACACGGCTGAGCCATTAACCCTGTTTGAGCCTCAGCTCCCTCATCTGCAAAATGAACCGAATAACAGTACTCAGGGGCTGAGGCTGCTGGGGTACACGGAGACCGAGTCACCATAGAACCCTGGGTCCTGCAGGCAGCTTCATGCAGGCTCGGAGGAGACAGGATGACAGGTTAGCACCAAAGGGGCCTTGGAGTGTGTGAGGCCAGTGTCTCAGCCTCTTCAGGTGACAGACTGGGGTCCTATAGGAAGCCCCTGAAATGCCACTGGAACTGAGTCTTCAAACCCCAGCTACAGGGTGCTAACCGACACGCACACCTAGCCTAGAAGGCTGAGGCAGAAGGATCACTGTGAGTTTGGGGCCAGCCTGGGCTGTATAATGAGATCCTGTTTCAAACACACACACCCCAAAAAACACAAATGAAAAAGAAAATGCTAAACATGAAGGCACCAGAAACAAGAAGACTATCAACCCCAATAGGATCTCCTGTCTGCAGACTCTGGCAGGATTCGAAAACCACCATCCGGTCCAGGATCAACCTGGACATTTAACTGAAGGAAAGCACACCCACAGAGGAAAAGTGACGCAAGATCTGGGACAGAAGTAGGATGCAGACGGTCTAGTCAGACGCCGGTTGTCTTCCCTATTCTTTGGCCCACGCCCCACTGAGTGGATTGTGAGTTCTCAGCCAGAAACTGAGTTCACAAGTTCAAGCCCTTCCAGCTTGAGAGTCCAAGACTGAGCTATTTAAGGAAAGATGTCCCCATTTAATGCCTGACTCAGGCCCGTGTCACTTGGGGGAGTGGGGAAGTGAGGGAGACAATGGTCAGAGAGGCAGAGCTGCTGCAGAGGAACCAGCCTCCACACTGTCACCCCATCCCAGTGTGGCCTGTCACCCCTGAGGAGTTCAGCCCTGAGGCTGCTCCTTCCGGACGCCTGACACACAGCACCCACCCCACTAGGACTTTCTGAAACCCTGCACGGTCCTTCCTGCCCACTGCTAGGGCTTCCATCTGGATTGTCCCCCAGAAGCCTCACGCACGCACAGGCAGGGTTTTTTGCAGTGTCTGGATTACGAGGTTTAGCGCCGGCTCAAGGCTAGGGGGCGGGGCCTGGTACGGTTTGCCCCCACCCGCCAGCTCCTCCTTCCACTCTCTGGATGAGCAGCTTTTCCTCCACCAGGCCCTCTGCCGAGCTGGCCTGCCCTGGAGCCAGCTGACCGAGGGCTGAAATGTGAGCCCAAACAAACCCCAGCTCCCTCAGGATGCTGCCTGTAGAGGGTATCCCACCCCACCCCTGCAAAGACGGAGGTAACTGAGACACCACCCCAGGCCAGCTCCCTGCACGGCCCTGACCAGCAAGGTGCCGGCCACCTTTCGGTTCTCCCATCTCCCGGCCTACCACCCCCTCCCTCACATCAGGACCATTTTCTACCAGAATCTTCATCCTTCCCAGCTGTACCCCGGCTAATTTTAGAACCGTATTTTTCACCATTCCCAGAAACCTCATTGGCTTCAGATTTTCATGATGAACCTTTTCTCCCTTTGAAGTAAAGTCACATCATCTGATAGGCAGAGATGTACTCTCCGTCGCTGGGAGTGTAGCGCAGTGGCAGAGTGCTTGCCTAGCATATGTGAGGACCTGGGTTCCTTCCCCAGGAAGAGGGAGCCGGAGAGGGAGAGGGAGAGGGGGAGGGGAGGGGAATGGAAGCCTGAGGGGGAGGGGCAGGAGGGGAGGGGGAGGGGCAGGAGGGGAGGGCGGCAAAGGAGAGGGAGGGGAGAAAGGAACAGGATGCTATAATAGGGGGCCACTCCCCTCCCCCTTGTACGAAGGATTACAGGGAAGCAGAGGTAAAGAAAACAGACCTGCAGAGCCTGCCCTGCAGAAGTGCAAAATTTCAAACCAGGATGGGCCATTGCAGCCCCCTACATCACCTACAGCATCGATCGATCCTGAGCCTTTCAGAGACCGAGTGCCCACTCTCTGACCTAAAAACCCACTTATTTACTGCGAGGAGCCAACACTGCAATTAAACCTGACTGCGGACGTTTTAGTTTAGAAAACAGTAAGTGTCATCGGTTGCTCAGCTGCTCTGGTGACTTGGCTCACGCGCCCAAGGAGGGCTCTGTGTGGTCTCCACTGCTGATCTGGAGTAACCTCCCTTCACCTGAGCTCACTGACAGCTCAGGCACTGGACCATGCCCTGTGTTCAGCTGTGACAGTGAATATGGGAAGGCGGGCTGTCAGTCATGCCCTGGTGGACGTTAAGCCCCTACCCCTACCCCTACCCCCTACCTCCTACCCCTACCCCTATCCCCTCCCCTTACCCCCTACCCCTACCCCTACCCCCTACCCCTACCCCCTAGCCCTACCCCCTACTCTTATCCCCTACCCCTACCCCCTACCCCTACCCCCTACCCTTACCCCTACCCCTACCCCCTACCCCCTACCCCTACCCCCGGGAGCAGGTGCGAGCCTGGTCACTGAGCAGATTAACGGCTTAATGCGCTTTGCTGCTGCTTCCTCACCGTGGCATGCCACGTCCTGGGCTTTGTCCGTTACACACAAGAACCAGGGCCCCATCCGTGACCCCGTCGCCCACGGTAACATCTTGGCAAGCCAGCCAGGAGCTACAGCCCCCGTGAGGAGATTGTAGACATCTTATTTCCTCTCTTTCTTCCTGTTTTCGTGGCCTCCACTGCTTGCTGAGGCGCAGGTCAGACAGTGAGGGCAGGGGTCCGCAGCTTGCTTGCAAGGGTGGCTGGGTTGTGGGCTGGAGCATTCTGGGCTCCCCAGCGGCAGGAAAACTTCCGTGCCTCCCCCTCAGGTTTACTTGGTTCGCATGACCTCTTTTTTTGATGCAGATCTCTGCAGCCTGGGGATTCCTTTTCAATAGCTAGCATTTCCTGCGCCTGGGAAATGTGCGCTTATATATTAAAAGCACCGGAGATGAACGGGCACTTGGGCCCTCTACGCAGAGAGGCGGAGAGGCGTCAGGAGCCCTGTCCAGGATGCAAGGCCTCGCGAGGCGTTCCTGTAGGTCACCTCCACATCCTGTCCCTGGGCTAGAGGGGACTCAATATGTTGCTGGCCCAGGGAGACCAGGAGTGCTTGAGCAAACCTTAATACACCCAATGCGGGAGGCCAGATTCCGAGACGCAGTGAAGAGACCCCGTCTCTGGCCACCCCAGGGAGAGCAGTCTCCCAAAGGATCCACACTCAAATTGCTTTTTCTGTCATGTCTCTTGTCCTCCCCATCCCTCACACCTAAACGAAACAGTGGGATTCCTCTACCGCCTCTTAAAACTCCTGGCTCTTTCCCTGTGGAGTTTCCATCTGCAGGAAACCCATACTGAATCAGTCAGAGAAACAGAGCACAAGATACACAAATGTATGAGGAATTACAAGACAGTAAGTTTGCCACCTTCCCAACAGTAGACTGCACTGAAATTTTCTGCCGCCCAGGCAATCAAACACAGGGGAAACACTAACCAACTTCCTGACAAAGCACGACATACAGCACCTGGGATCCAGCATTCCGTGCAGTCCTGCCCAATAGAAGCCTCCCGAGCCTCATTGTAACTGGTGGCATTTCCATCAGTACCCTGATTTTCCAGGCTCTGACCAGAGTCTCCAACATAGTTCACAGCACACGGGGGCTGTCTTTTCTGCCAGTTTCTCAAATCTTTTCTAAATTAGTTCTCAAGGTTCTTAAACCACATTGCCAGGCATGACCCCACTGTCCTGGTGTTGGGGTCTGTATCTAGACCTCCAACCCCCAAATGAGTTCATGGCGAAGGCCCAAAGGAAGGAGACACATGCCATGGTCTTTAGGGCTGCAGGAGGACGGCAACCCTCAGCAGAGCTTCTAACTGCTGGCTGGCCAGCCAACTGATGCTGGGCAGCCCATATTTAATCAGAACAAGCAAGGAGTTGAGGAGACAACGGAGGAAACCTGAGCAGGATCTTGGGAGGGGTTAAGGACCCCTCAGAACAACTGACAGATGCTAGTTAAGGAGAGCTACCCAGACAGTCGCTAGGTGTCCCCAGCTGTGGCCTATCTTGCCCCCTGAGGTGTCTCCTTGTTCTCAGTTCAGCCATGCCCGGCCACCCCACAGCCCTGCACGTGTATTCGGCTTCAACAGCTCCAACATCCTGGCATTTCATTGTGGTCAGGGTTTGTAAGGGAAACAACTTAATACAGGACATGTAACTTATAATATTCTCATATAATCCACCCAAAGAATCAAATGCAGAAGGGCACAAGGAATCTGTCCGTACATTAGGGACCCAAAGAATCCAGGTGAGGACCTGGACCCCACAGTCATGTCCTGCATGAGTCCAGCTGGAGGCCGAGAGCCCACGACAATGTCTCATGCAAGACTGCATCAAGGATCTGCTCTGGGAAGGCCCAAAGGTCCGAGGTGGAAGCTGGAAAGTCTGTGCCAGGGGATGAAGGATCTGCACCAGCAGGCTGAGGGTTCTGCACTGCAGCCAGGAAGCAATGCTCAAGGTAAGGATCAGGGTTCCCCTCAAGAGAACCACAGCCAGCTTCAGTGACAGCGAGGACCTGAGATCCTCTGATGATAACAGCTGAGTTCCCATCAGGAAGCCAGCATGACAAGCTTTTCCAGACGATCAACAGCGCACAGTCTTCTCCCCGCAGTTCTGCTGTTGTGCTGTTGGTAACGATCCTCAGGGGAGTCTTCCACCCCCAGCATCGCGCTGACCCAGTTCGCCTGGGTATCACAAGCTGACCACCAGTGGCCAATCCACTGCACAAAACCTTTTGTAACGTGGGCTGGGGGGAATGCAAGGAAGGTGGGGATGGAGGAAATGGCATGCAGGGGTGAAGGGACGTACATGAGCTCGAGTTGTAAGATAGGTCCTGCCTGGGCTCCTGGCAACACAGCTTCTGAACCCCACCTTGCCCAGGCCGATGGC